CAGCTGCTGGTCAGTCTCCCAGCTGCAGGAGTGCCATGGCTGCAGCTCCCTGAGGCCCCCAGGGCCCTAAGTAAGGCTTCTAGGCCCATCACAGTTGCTGGCTCCAGCCTCCCCTACTCCACCCTGGGTAACCTGCCATGTGCCAGAGGGTGCGTGGCACTGGCATTTCCCCGGGACAAGTAGGATCAGCACAGGGTATGCCACTTCTTTTTGTCCCAAGGGAAACAAATGTCTGTGCTTGTGCGGATGTGGCCTAGGTGGTTTGGGGTTCAGCATGGTAAGGAATCTGACCTGAACTGCAAAATTCCTATCCAGCTCTGAATGTGGAACTGAATTTCTTCATGCTTTTATTAAGAGCTTGCATCAAGTTTTCTGGTTTATTTCTTCTCTGGTTCAGACAAAATAGGAAGTAGCCAAAAGTCATCATCTAAATACTGTCTGAAGGGATCTCTTTTGAGATTTCAAAGAGGTTGGGTTAATTTTTTTGAAGCAAAAAAAAAAAATCTTCATTTTCAGCCAGGAGACAGAGATACCAAAAGTATCAGTGGTGGCTGAAATTACACATACTGAAAATTGCAATCCCTGGGTGCAGCTTCCAAACCAAAATAACTTGCTGTAAGGGAGATTTTTGCCTGGTTTGAATGGAAAAGATGTCTCCGTGTTTGCTGTAGATCTAGCTGATCTTGAAAGAGAAAGTACCTCATAATTACAGAGTGTGATATCTGCTGTTGAGGAAGTCTGAGTGCTACTATTCTAATGGAAGTGCATAGTTGTCTGGCTGGGTGGAGCAGTCCTTAAGAAACCAAACCTACGGCCTGGATTGGAGGCAAGAAGACTGTCAGGATATATAGAGTCCTAGCATGGCTTATACCTCTATATGTACCTGCATACCTACCAAAAAATTGCACCTTATACAGCTGGAAAAACACCATTTGAGTTCATAAAGTTTAGTAGGCTTCTTCCCCTAGTTGCTAAATAATAGACTGCATTTTAGTTTGGTAGCATTACAAAGAAGAACTGAAGCAGGTGGGTGTTGGGCTGTAGCAAAAGTATATGTGGAAGGAGAAAAAATCTGGTGGTCAGTAACTGGGTATTCTGTGCAGCAGGCCTGAACAGCAGAGCAGAATTTACAGGTTTATTTTGCCAAGTGCTTTGAAGCAGAAAATAAGCCATTATGAAAGAAGATCTAAGAAAGCAAAAGGGTTTATAGTAGGTGTACTTAAAAGTTAATTTGGGTGTTAAAGATATATATCTAAAAAAAATTGCTAAGCTATAAATGGGTAGTGCTTTTAGAATCTAGAATGTGGTTAGAATAAGAACATACTTTTTAGGTGGCAGCACTTCAATGCAGATGGAGCCATTTGAAGCAGAGACTTCATTTGCATTTTTTCGTATAGTGCCTAGCAAAATGGCTAACCTAAATGGCAACCTCTAGGTGCTATGATAACAGTTAAACTATAACACTTACTATATTTCAGCTGTTTCCATCATGCAGTACCTCAAAGTGCTTTATAAACTCTAGACTGACAAAACTGTTAAACCGCAGACCCTTTGGGGTGATAGGAGCCAAACAGCAGAGAGTACACTTACAGCTGTAAATATCAGTAAATATTATAAAGTAAAACTTCCTACCCTTTTAAAAAAGGACATAGCATGTAATGTTCATATACCCTGATTGTACCGATGTAATGGCCTATAAATCAAATTATACGTACATGTACACACATACGTAGAAGAGCAGCTTTGAGATGTGGAGACACTTGCACTGAATGTATAAGTATCCACAATAGCTTCAAGGATGCTTAGTAATTCAACCTTATTATTAATTAATAATAATATATCATGGAGAGGGAAGTGTCTGCTCATCTGGCTCGAGCTGAAGCCACGCACATAGGTAGGGTATGACTCACCCATGCTGCTGAGGGACCATAATACAAAGCATGCTGGACTCCAGGCTGTGAGGAGGGATTTATGGTTTCCTATTTAGAGCTGGTGCACAGGACTGTGGCCCAGTTTGAGATGCATTTTAACAGCCTAGGTCACTCTGCCTGCAGAGAGCTAGATGAATTACCCCATGAAAAAACTTCTTGTGAGGTCAGTTTTTTAAAATGGGTTCCTAAAGTTGGGCTCCAAAACTGATAACTAGTGTTGAACTTGCACTAGAACATACGTGACTTAAGAAAACAGGTCCCACTGACAGTCTGACCCCTTCAGCACCCAAAGAGGTGCCCTGATTTTCACAGGTTTAGAGTAGATAGAAGCTCCTGATTAAAATGTCTTTTGCTTTCAACCACAGCCCATGAACTTTGTAGGGCACAAACTTTTACTTTTCTACAGGAAGCAGTTTTTTGTCTGTGATGTGATAGGAAGGACAGTTGTTTGGATAACAATCATTGCTCTGTCAGAAGCACTTTAGCCTGAAGAGCTAAAGAGGGGCACTGTGGGCACGTCTATATGAGATGCTTAATGTGCAGAAGACTAATTCTGCTGTGGATTAGCATGGCGGGTAAGACCCATACTAATTCACATTAGATTTAGTCTAATGTTCATTAATGTCACTAAAAAAGTGTTGATCTATGCTAATGCACAGTAGCATCAATTACAGCACATTAAGTTTAGTACCTGTCATTACAGGTACAAAACTTAATGTGCTGTAATTACGGTGCATTAATGAATGTGTAGATGCACCCTGTGATATGTAGGTACCGACTGGGCTGTATTTCACTAAGGGATATGCAATACTGGAATTTTCAAAGGGGACATTGAATTTGATTTCCATGGAATTTTACTTGGAGTTGGATGGCTTTGAGAATCCCTACCCAAGGCTCTTCCACATCAGAAAGAACCTCATTAATTCTCACAACTGAGTGCAAGGGTCCTTGAGAATTGCTGCATTTTACATATTAGCAAGTGAATGGAAGAGGAAGGAAAATGAATGGATAATGCAGTTTCAAATGTGTGTAATTCAGTTGCTTGACAAGTGTGGTTTAGTTTTGTAATACTCTGTAGTACAATAGTAATTGATCTGCACTGTATTTATAACCGCAATGAAGTCTTGAATGAATGTTTGCTGAGATGGTTACGAAATGTTCAATACTGAAAATAAAATTTCTCCTATCTGTGATTGTTTATCTAATTTATCACAAACGGAAAATAGTTTCTCTGTTCCACTCTACACCAAATTGATTTTCTTTGTTTTTAAAAGCACAATACAAAGAATCACTTTGCCAGACACTCAGAGCACTACTTGCAACAGGGCAAGCTTATTGGAGCTTCTCAGCAATTTCCTTATTGGTGTACATGCAACTAGCACCGCTTTGGAACCAAGATGAGGACCTTGTTTGAATTCTGACTGGAATAATTTGTCAGGACTTTACAGAAGAAATTCACTTGCCAGACTGGGATCTCTGAATTGTCGTCAGCTCTTGTGGAGGAATCTTGCCTTGGAGTTGTTTGCATTTCTATTCCCAGACTGCCACTGACTCATCTGACCTTGGGAAACTTGTATAATCTCTCCTGTTTTAGTTTCCCCAGCTGTAAAACAGAGGTGATAATTTCATAAGGAATGAAAAATATAGCTTCTACCAGTCATTACTGACTAGTTTTAGTAGTGTCACATAGTGCTGATAGAAAATGCTGAGTTTGTAGTAGGGTTTGCTATCCTTGCCTACTGCAGAGGTGTTGAAGCTTAATTTATGTTCTTGTAGTGCTTTCAAGTGACCCATGATTCATTAATCATTATATGTTACAATTACAAGTAGTGCTCATCATGAGAGGATTTCAAATCATGGCAAGTTTAAGACCACCAGTCAACAGCTACAACACAGTCTCTGTTGGTGTAATGACTATCTATGAAGACCCTGTTTGAATGACTCACATGGCCTGGTGATGGAATACAAATGAAGTGCTGTGGTGTTAGAAAAGCCTCCAGTTCAAAACACTCTGATATGTTATGTCCACCCCAATCTTCCTGGTGTAAGGAAGACGCTCCAACTGGCATAATCAAAGATGGCCAATAGCAATACCAGCAAACTCCATTCTCTTTAGTACACACGCGGTTAGCTTACATCATTGAAACTGCACATTCTCTGGACAGATGATTTATCAATGGGAAGTATTTTTTTCAGCCAGATAAAATTGATTTGAGAGTGATCAGCAAGTAGCAAAACCTCTGCACTCAGGAAAGACGGTCACTGCAACATGACTGTCAAGATTATAGTTTATACCTCAGGTGTGCCTAGGGTAGGAAGAGACTTACCCTATGGAATAAGCTGCCCATAATCACCTATTATAGGGACTTATTGTGCCTATGACACATCTGGTCCCAGCTTCAGTTGGAAAGGGAAGATGCTGAATTGGATGGATATTGGGTCTGATCCAGGCTGTGATTCTTCTGTTGCAGTCCTCTTGGAACTGCACCCTAGTCCAGGAAAGTGCTTGAGCATATGCTTACATTTAAGCAGATTAGATACCCAAGTAAAATCACAATTTAAGCATGTGCCTAAATGCCTTTTTGGATAAGTGCCAGTGTATTTAGCATCCAGCTAGGAACAAACATGTAGCAAGGAGGCTATCTTTCCCCTAAAGAGATTATCATCTTGGATAATTACAAGATACAGTAGATAGAGGAAACAAACAGTTGGGGTGAGAAGAAGCAGGCTGATCCAGAAGTAATATCAGCACAGTTTCATCTACCCTAGCTCTGTGTACAGTTCACCTTGAAGGCAGGGTAGATATGCACCTTATAGACTGACTAAATAAAAATATATATGGAGTATAAGCTTTCATGAACAGATGACTTTGTTCTCACAGCATCATGGCAGAAGGGAGTATTAAAGAGACAATAGAAGAAGGATAACACTGTAGACAATTCCTTGGAGAGGAGGGAATTTGTGCAATGCATAGGATAAAGCATGAGAACCAGATACCCTGAATGTTTCCTCTATAAGAATCCTTTAAAAGTATATATCTGAGTCTCATCATGCAATTTGTTTCTCTAGGCGCCGGCAGCAAACCTGGTACTGGAAGATGGAACAAAGATGAGGGGTTATTCCTTTGGCTATCCATCCTCCACAGTAGGGGAAGTTGTATTCAACACAGGCCTTTCTGGGTAAGTTGAACACAAATGTGACATAAGCAGAGAAACCAATCTAATAGCACAGCAGTAAATTGTGGGGAAAAATCTGCTTTTTCATAGCTAGCAGGGCATTTTGTTGGTGTTGTCTTTGTGTTATCATTGTGCCTAGCCTTGAACCATTGACCTTAACAGAAATGATGGTCAGTCCTATTACAAATATGCCTGATACACTAAGGTCATTTGTGGGGAGCTTTAAGCTTCAGTGGGAGGTGGGAGTTGAGATGGTCTGAGATAACTCACAAGAACTTTAGCCAAGATGTCAATGCAGTCTTTGCACAACTGCTTCATATGCTGCAGTCTGCTGTCCCTGGGTGGAATACATATTGCAAGATATTTTTTTAAATAGTTCTGTTGGTAAGAGTGCTAAATTACAGCACTGGAAATCTGTTTTGCAAAGTTTTGCATCACAAGGCAATTACTTAAGCTTTTCGACAGCACTAATTACTAGCCGTGTTAATATACCTGCCAACAAACAACTGTTTAATATAGATCAGAATGATGGAGGGCACCAGAGTTCTCTTCTCTGTGATAGATTATGGGTAATAAATCTTGTCACATCACAAAAGTCAGACAGCACCTGATGGATTAATTTCCCTTCAACACTGCAGCTCAATGACAGAAGCCATATTTATTCATTTACCAATAAATAGAGAGGATACCTTCATAAAGAAGTGCTTATTTTTTTCTGAGTACCAATAGGGCTGGAGGGAAGAAGTAAAGTATAAATTTAAAAAGCCTGTTGTATTCTTAAGTCTAGGGGGCATAACCCTGATTAATACAGAGAAGAGATTATTTTAGCAGAATTAGATTATGAAATGTTCTTGCAGAGCATAGATGTGACAGAACTTAACCAGGCACAACTGGACTTGGAATTCAAGGACTACTTTATGCAGAATGAGACCTTGTGGTTCTCTAGCTCTTTTAAAGCTTTAAGTGTCCAAAGCAATCCATGCAGCTGTGGTTTGTTTTCCAACTGGTATAACACAAGCGTCTGTATTAATAGGTACATACCTTTTCAGGATTAGAGATATTCATTAGGATAGGAAACAAGTTAGTAGCATAGGCATGACTGTGCCAGTGAGGTGGGGCAGAATGAACATGGAAGTGGCTACTCCAAGAATTTTGTAAAGCAAGCTGCTATTCTATACATTGTCAACTGGATGTTTCTAGGGTCATGGGTCAGTTCAGACTGAGCTAAATATTCATGAAATTAAAACGTGCTTATGTGTTTTTTTTTCTCCCTATAAGTGCCTGAATTCTTGCTCAACAACACAGAGCAAGGATGCAAAACTGTTTTTATGGGTATTGCGTTTTCAATGTAATTTGCAACTTTCCTTTTTTGGCAACATTTTTTAGTAAAAACTTGAATCTCAACATAGAAAAGGGTACATTGTTCACAGATATTTTCATGAAAAATTCATTTAGTATTACTGCCAGCTGGTTGGGGATAAATGATGATCAGCTAAAGAAAATAGGAAGAACAGTAAAAGTTGTTATGTCCCTGTGTTTTGACCAGCTAAATTAATTACTTTTCTTTCCATGGGGCTGTTCCTCCCCCATTCTCTCCCCCTGTACTATTCATTCTAGCAAATGTCATGATTGGCAGGAATTTATAGAGGCAGGGCTTCTGGGCAAGCAGAGAGACCTGAACCCTGCACCATCTTCATTGCTTTCATGTCCGTCTGTACTTCCAAGATCCAGAAGACAGGGCACCTATGTGAAGTGCATTTTCTCAGTGGAGAGCTGCACCTGAAAACCACAGTCAAAATGAATGGCTTTTTGGTCTTGTTTGATGCTTGAAAAACCTCACAAAGGTGAATCATGTTAACTTTGCAATTAATGAAGAATTTTTGGAAGCATACACACTCAAATAGGAGGAAGAGATATATTTTCAATGGGTGTATAGCACTGGGAGCCAACCTTTATGGTACATGTACCACAAATTAGCCCCATACCCTCCCTAAGTGCCAGTCCAATCCCCTTCCTGTATCCATTCTTCCACTCTGTTTTTTGTTCCCTGTTCAGTGACCATTGCCCAATCTCCTGCTCTTCTTTCTGCTTCCAGCCCTGTGCTTCCTGCCTGATTTCCTGCTCTGCCTTCTGCCCTATCTGCTGCTGTGCTGCCTGTTCCCTACCTGCTCTGTCACGTGACACAAGTAGGGGCTGCCTGTGCTACTTGTGGTGCTCATGCCTCAGGTGGACCCTCACTGTGCTACAGCCAAACACGAACATTTGAAAATCTCCCTATATTAACCATAGCAGAAAATATGAGTTCAAACAGCAGGACAAAAATACCTTGAAATATTCCATGGGCATTGTTTATTAAACATGTCATTTCTCAGAACTAGCTCGAACACTCTGTTGCCTGTATCAGCCTGCAACCATTCTGGATTTTGCAAAGAGTTTTCCAGTGTATGAGAATTAATCTCTTGGCAATAGTGCTGGCATTCCATAAAAAAAATTGTCTCTTGTGACTTTCTGATCTCTGGTAAACAGTGTGAGTTTCTAATTATCTACCATTTAAAAAATGATACTAAAAAATTATATAGACAAATTATATGGGGCAAATTCATCCTGAAGCATTCCAGTACACTTAGCAAAATGTATGCAGAGATGGGATGGCTTCATTCATTGCTGAAATACAGTCACTTCTTGGTTGACAGGCAAGGGTTGTGTTTAACAGCTTGCAGGAACTGTTTATGACGGTATAGAGCAGTAGGTGAAGAATCACTCATTGAACTGATGCTACAGAGAGAAAGTAGGTACTCTAGGGAAACTACCATTATTTGATTTGGAATTTAGTTTGGAAAGTACGACTAAAAATGATCCAGTGCTCACCTTATCATTAATGCAGAATCTTAGGTCTGAATGCCAGGTCATCAAAACATTCAATTATGGGTTTCAAGCTTCTCCTGCTGAGGAAAGCATTTAAGCACATTCTTACATTTAGATAAATACTACTGAAGTTAATGGGACTGGAGCATTCATTCACCTGAAGTTAAGCATATGCTTATATGCTTTGTGATTAGGATGCCTTGCTGACTCAGGATCCAGGTCCTGACAGTATCTCTCAGAAGTAAGTAAATAGAATTCTACGCAATTTAAGCCTTGAGACTTTCCAGTAAGCCTTAAAAACCAAGGTTACCTGCTCTGCGTGGACAAAAAGAGTATGGATTTACTTTGTTCATTGACAAGGTGTTTCCACATCCAAACGACTAAAGCACACTTTGTTTGCTTATTCCAGAAGTGACTGCATCTCAGCTGTGTTGAACCTAGGCTATTTATGAAAGGCCTTTGTATCCTTCCAGATGGAAAGTGCTACATACAATAAATGTAAAATGAAAACATGTATAATATTGGCCGTTACTATAGTTCCCACATGAGAGCAGCTCAAGAAAGGTTAATGGATGGCTAACTAGCTTGCCTAAATTGTTGACAGCAGTTCCCTGCTCCAGGACCACTGAGGGGACACTACAGGAAAGCAGCAAGATATATGACTAGATGGTGACCCACATCAATCACTCTTTGCTCTCTGGATGGGGGAAACTTATTAGGTTGGCCTGCAACCAAGCCAGCTGACTTTCACAGAGTCTGAAAAGGGAGTCTGCTTCCATTGTGAGAAGGAAGGGCATATCTGGAGAGACGTCCCTGCTACAGAATGCAGTTTTGGTCCCTTCTTAGCTGAAGTGGTCTAATTCCACTCATCCAGCAGGACTAAACTAGATGATAATACCAGATGAAATGCATCCAGGCCCTAGGGTCAGCAAACATTGTGGGGTGTGGTTCTGTTGGCAAGAGACCTATCAGCTAGTTATCTGGCAGTATTTGATCTATCTGCAGACATATATAACCCATTTGATTGCTGAGGTGCAAACAGTCTTTTTTTGGGCAGATGGGATTGGCGTGGCTTTTGCTGCTCATTAGAAACACCAATGGCCAAAGCAGAAGGAGGCACTCTGACTTCAAAAAGAGACTTTTGAGTAGTTTTCCCACTTGGACATTAAGATTTACTTCTACTGGAAACAAACTACCAGATGGCAAGAGAAGGTCATGAGGTACGAAAGAAGGAACTGTCAGAAAAGGATCACTAAGCACTTTCTAGGCTAGCGCCAGGTATTGCATGAAGAATGAAGACTCCAACTAACTATCTATTAATGCCCTCACTGTAAAATCCACAGATAGGCAAAACCTCACACATGCCAAAAAGCTATTCAGTTACTCCAACCTGGGGCCGAAGGTAGTAAAACAACAAAGGAGTGGAACGAATGAGTAAATGAGGAAGGAAGAGCCCTCATGAGGTGGAGATGTGATCCAACCAACTCTAGCAAGATGGTTGCCACATTTGAAGCTTAAATGAGTTTGTCTGTGCTAAGTGACAGAATATAAGTTACAGGAGAGTTTTCATGTTCAGCTTTTATGGTGCCCTGTGTTTGACAAAAAGATCTAACCTAGTCCATGAGACATCATCAGTGGGACATATAGGAATAGAGAAGACACTCTTTCTTTCCTCTGGTTTTTGGGCTGGGATCCATAAAGATGTCCAAGACTTACATGCATTTTGTCTGAACAGCTAAATAGTTGCCACAGACAACTACCTCTGGATCCTTTGGCAGTCTCTCCTCCCCTGCCCCTTCCAGATCATTGAAACACCCTTTGAATTGGGTAGGATAGATTTATTGGGGCTCTAAGTAAGGAGCTTCTTGCCTTTGAAGGTGAAGCCAATGGATTATGAAGCCTATTTGCTGCTACGTAAAGGAGGAGACAAATTGAGTATATAAACTTGCTGAAATGCTCGACTCTTGGGATGATTTGGGGTATGTTAACACCACAGTGATTGCAGTGCAGCATAGAGACACCTAAGTTAGCATTAAACTAGGCAGTTTGGGTATCAGCAGCAGTCAGTGCATGAATGCTTAGAGTACAGTACAGGCTGATTTACTGGGAAATATGAGAGGGAAAGAACTGAAACCCCTCACAGGAAAAAACAAAGTAATCAAAGGAGGCAGAAAAGGTAAAGGTACTAGGGATCATTGCTGAGCCACAGTGTGTGTGGAAAAGCCCCATTATATTAGTCCCCAAATATTTTGGGAAATGAAATGCTATATTCATGCTTACCCAATACCTTGGCTGAGTTTTGGCTATTATAGCTCTGTGCAAGACCTGAACACAGGTAACTGGAAAATTCTCCTGACCAGGGCCTATTGAGACAAAAAAAAAAATCTCCTTGGCATCTATTTCAATTCAGGGTCATACCCTTTGGGGTCCATTATGTTGCTGCAATCTTTTACTGCCTAATGGTCAAGGCTGTGTAGATCCAATGGAATACCCAACAGCCTACCTTAGTGATGTCATCCTCTTCAGGACCCAGCTAGATGCCCTGATAACAAGCAACAGCAGCTATAGAAGCTGTACTTTGCTTAATGGACTTAAATTGCAGCACGAGAAAGTTGGGTTAGCTATTAGGAAGAACTTTCCTAATTGTGAAGGCGATCAAGTACTGGAACAGATTACTTAGAGCTTCCAACATTAGAAGATTTAAGTGAAGCATGGACTAGCAGTTGGTTGGTTTGTTCCTGCCTTGACCTGGGGTTGGACCAGAAGTTTAGACCTGAGTTCCTGTAAACCCTATTTATCTGGGGTTCTATGCTACCTTGGACCAGGCCCTAGGGAGCAGAGTGTAGACCCTACAAAACTGCCACAGACCCACAACAGAGGTAGTTTGGTTGCTTTCTAAGCCTTGCAGACTGCTGTAGGAAATTGGTGACTGTTTCCTTTATAGTTGCATGCTCCATGGAACTGATAAATGGATCTGCTCCTTTGAAATAGCACTGGACTCTTGAGCATGAAAAGCCCTTTTTGGGGGGTGAGAGACACCTTGTGCAAACCACCAGGTTTTCCAGCTCCTGACTTTGCAAAACAGTTAGTTTTGCAGAGAGATGTAGCTGTTGCAGTCCTATACTAGAATGAAAAGGGAGAAGAATGCCCTGTGCTGTGTCTCAGCCACAAATTGTTCTCATGGGAGAGGATGTATGGGTATGCCCTGACAGGAAGAGAAGGCTACCTATTAAACATGCCAATAAAGCCTCGGATACTGTCTTCTAGGAAATCACTTCAGCTGGGTGAATGCGCATGCCCCATTGAAGTGATCAAACAGCATGAAGATACATAATCAGCCAGTATATTTCTCAGTAGACACTGGGTGGTGAACTACCACAAGGATGCAGACTTCTCCCGAGGAATCAAGGGTTTTGCCCCTGCAGAAGGCACTCCCACTACCTTTTGGAGACGAGGTGGATGATGGGGTTGGTAGATCCCCCTATAACAGCCAGCCAAAAAGAATCAATGGATAAGAGAACTGGTCATACTTAACCTCCTTAGCTATGACCAGGAATCCTGGTTTTCTCTGTTTAAACATCCAAAAGTCTCTCATTAAAAAAAAAAAAAATCTGCATTTTTCAGCAATTAAAATGAAACACCACTGTATACATAGGTATCCATTGAACACAATGCTTTATTGATATATTTAAAAATGTAAAGCAATCTGGAAGTCTACCAGTGCCTCAATCATTATAATAAAATTAATTCTAAATACCTATATATTTTGGTGTTTGATTTTAGTCCCCCACTCTGCACCCAGGCCCCAGCCCCACAGCGTGTGGGGTGGGGAGTGTGGGGCAGGGTGGGGGTGTGTGGGGCGGTGGTTGCCTGACCATAGGCGATGCCATAAGTGATGTATTTGGGGCGTATAAGGGAACATGCCCCTGCCCCAGATTTGTGTGCCCACAGGGGGCACAGGGCGGCAGCCTGGCTGGATCAGCATGGGCAGGAGCTGCTTCTGGGGCCCAGCAGGTGGGACCCAGTGTGGGAGGGCAGAGCAGGATGGCAAAACTTATTGCTGCTACTGCTGGGACCCTGTGCCAGCTGTGCCACCAGCATCGCAAGGAGTAATGGGTCCGGGGGAGCAAGGGGGGTGCTGTGCTGCCTTCACCTTCTCCCATTGACAGCTCCTTATGTGCTCTGTCATGGCCCTACCTTGTCACCATGGCCTGGCCACCACCACTGTTTCCCTCAGGCCACCTGCACTGCCTCCCAACCCATATCCCCTCTGGGGTAGAGCTACAGCCTGAGGGGAGCAGTGGCGACGGTAGTGATGGCCATAGCTGGGCCACGGAGGTCGGGTAGAGCTGTGGTGGTAGCCAGGCCACGGTGGCAGGGTAGAGCCATGGTCCAGTGCATGAGTGTCTGGAGTCAGGAGGAGGTGAGGGCCCTCTGCCCACAATCCATTACTTTTTGCACTACTGACGATGCAAATGGTATTGGGAGCATAGGGACAACAGCACCAATGAGTCTCACTGAGCTGCTCTGCCCTCCTGCACGAGGTCTCACCTGCTGCAGCCCCATGCTTGCTGTGGCTGCAGAAATCTGGGGACAGGACCATGCCCCTCCATTCCCCCGTGATGTGTCACCTATGGTCCCCCCCATGTCTCGCTTTTGCCACCCTCATATACTTACCTGCAGGGAGCTTCAGGAGCTGTTCTCCACCACACTGCCTGGCTGCCATGTGCATGTGTGTGCATGCACATGCATGTGGCACCCCCTGCCTGTGATCACCCTCTTCCTGCTCCATGATCCCCAGGCTGCCCCTTGCAGGCTGGAACTCTACCAGCCTGCAAAGGGAAACCCATGGTTTCCAGCATTTTTATCCTTTAAAAAAGAGAAGGAAAATCTGTGATTTTCTCTTTTAAAGGAGAAAATCTATGTTTTTCCACATTTTTGTGATAAATGGAAAACCTGGATCCTTGGCTATGACTAAGGGCTTGATTAGAGACATCTGCTTTCAGATATGGCAGCCTGGGCAGAATGGGGTGGGCAACAGGAGAGGCTGCCTTGAGATGCTAAAATTACAGGTGTGAAGGAGCCACAAGAGTAGTATTGGAGTGATAAAGGTAGGAAGCAGACCAGGGGAATGGTGAAGGATGATACAGAACAGACCTTAGTTGTGCAACACTAGATTGTCAGAATGGAAGCCATAGGAGAGGGTGGGCATCGGTTTTTCTACCTCTGTTCCCCTGCAAATAGAGAAGTAATGGCCCTGAAAGTTGATGGCATAGGATGAGGAAGCCCCCACACTTTCAAGGCCCTCTGGACTTGGGGTGTTTGCCTTTCACTTTGTTATACTTGAAACTTAAATGGTATGGAGCAAAGAGAACAATGATATGTGCAATAGTGTTAGGCTTTGTCACAAAGGGGCACCCTGGACAATGACTGCACTCTGGACAGGAGTAAGTTCAGTGAGTGGATTCTAGGAGAATACAGGGATTTTTTTTTTTTTTAAAAAAGGAATGTGCAAAATCCTGCAATTTTTCTGCATACCAAGTTTCCAAATTTAAATAGGAAAAACACAGAGAAAAGGTGTGGTAGGGTGAACTGCACATGCAGGTACTTCTGTGCTGAGGAGGTTTCACATGCTCTCCTGCCTTTGGTTGTTTTCCCATCTTGGAACTGACTGTGTTTGTTTTGTTTTTCTTCTTGTTGACTTTTTTTTGCTTCCCTTCACCTATCAGGGTTATGTTGTCTTTTGTTTCAGGTACATGGAAATCCTGACAGATCCTAGCTATCGGGGGCAGATTCTCACACTGACAAACCCCATTGTAGGGAATGGTGGGGTGCCGGACACTTCTGCCTTGGATGAAATGGGCCTCAGCAGGTTTTTAGAGTCAGATGGAATCAAGGTAATAACACCAGCAAAGCCAGGGTTGGACAAAAGAATACAAATCACTGATACATGTGGGTGTGCTCGGCTATCCTCTGTAGCTAGATATAAAAGCTGGAATAGATTTTCCAGGATTAATTTTCCATCTTTCTGATACCTTAGGTACAAGGTTGTCTCCCAAAGGCCACTTGTTGTGGAAAGATCAGATCCTAGTGAAAAGGGCAGTTTGGAGAGAGAGTGTGCCTACTCTGCAATCCACTGTAGCTTGTGTATGTCTGAGCTAGCTTTAATCCAACCAGTTTGAATACCAGTAGCAGTGCAGCTTCAGTGGGATGGGTTTCAGCCACCCAGCACTTTAAATCAGGTCCTGGGTGAACTTGTTCAGCCTGTGTTTGTCATTGCTAGAATATGACTAGTTACCTTAGCTAGCTATTTTAAAAAAGCTAGCTCAGGTCTGTCTATAGCTGCAGTCACACTTCTGAACATACTCAAATCCTTTACTGAACAGCCTTATAATATACAGTGGAAATCAGACTACATGGTATAATGATTCCTTCTGGAAATCTCCTAATGTATGTTCAAGTGGCTCCAGAAAGGTCACTTGAACACGGAAGGACTTTTTGTTACAGCCCTGCCTAGATCAGGAAAATGAGGCATATTCAGCAAATGTTTTAACTTGGGCTGGGTACAGACATTGCACTTTTACTGGTATAAGAGACTGGAAACCGGTCTATACCCATAACAGAACAGAAATTCAATGTATATGGACTGGTTTAAATGGTGGAACCTGGTCTAAGATTTGCCCCCACCAATGGGCAAATGTGTGTTCTGTTTTCTACCAGTCTAAACTATGCGACTTACAGAAAAACATGTAAGAAGGCTTTTTGAATGTTGGTACTTAATCTTAATGGTCTTGTGAACACTGTTGGCATAAACAGAGAGAGTGGTGTTTAAATATGTATCAGTGGTGAATCTAACCATTTATTTTCCCAGTGGAGCAGTGCCAAAGTGGTACATAAGGATTGAGCATTGTGAGATGTGTGTCTTAAATGTACTTGTGCAACTTGAAAGAGTGTACTGGCTAAACCATGGTCCTAGTTAAACTGGTATAAATTCTCTCTAAAGACAGGAGGAGGAAAGTTAACTGGTAGCATGATTCCTTCTGTTTCTCTTAACAGGAAAGAAGGAAAAGATGAGTGAGAGAGACAGAGAGAGAACTCAAAGGAAGAGCAAAAATAGACACTGTTTCATAGTTTCATAGATTAAGGGTTGGAAGGGACCTAGTAGATCTTCTAGCCCGACCCCCCGCCAGGGCAGGAGAACAACAAAAACCCCAAAAACAAGAAACGGGACTCAAATGAGTCCAGCCAGGTAGGCATCCAGCCTCTTCTTAAAGACCCCCAGGGTAGGGGCCAGCACCACTTCCCTTGGAAGTTGGTTCCAGCTCCTAGCCGCCCTAACTGTGAAGTAGTTCTTGCGGATGTCCAATCTATACCTCCTCTCCATCAACTTGTGCCCATTACTCCTTGTTATGCCAGCGGGCGCTAGGGGAAACAGCGTCTCCCCCAAACCCTTCTGGTCCCCCCTAGTGAGTTTATAGACGGTCACCAGGTCCCCCCTCAGCCTTCTCTTGTGGAGGCTGAATAGGTTCAGGTCCCGCAGTCTCTCACTGTAGGGTCTGCCCTGTTGTCCCCGGATCATGCGTGTGGCCCTCCTCTGGACCCTCTCCATGTTGTCCACATCCCTCTTGAAATGGGCGCACAGAACTGGACACAATATTATTATTATTAGCTGCATTCTAAATAATTGTCTTAAAACCAGCTAAAAATAAGCATATGCATTTTCTTCTGTAAGAAATAACCGTAATTTCTACAGGGATCCTGTGTAATTATGTCTTGAAGGAGAGGAGGTCTGTGTGATCACAAATGATCCATTCCCTTCAGACATGGAAAAAGTAGCCTGGAGAAAGCATCTCCATTCAGATGTGGTCTGCAGTATGACTGTAACTGTGCAAATAAGGAATTTGTTTTGTTTGTTGACATGACCAAAAAATAGGAAGTATGTGTATTTGCAGTTAACTGGAATATTTTATTGAACAAAATAATGTTTTATTTTCACATTATTTAACTCTTCTTTTTTTACATTTATGTTGATTTTTTTTTTTAAATCAATGTGGTATTTCATAGATTCATAGAAGTAGGGTTGGAAGGGACCTTGTAGATCATCAGATCCGACCCCCTGCCCTGCACAGGAGAGAAAACTGGGCTCAAGTGAGCCCAGCCAGGTAGACATCAAGCCTTCTCTTAAAGACCCCCAGGGTAGGAGCCATTACCACTTCCCTTGGAAGTTGGTTCCAGATCCTAGCTGCCCTGACTGTGAAGTAGTGCCTTCGGATGTCTAGTTTAAACCTACTCTTTAACAACTTGTGGCCATTATTCCATGTTACCCAGGGGGCGCTAGGGGAAACAAGGTCTCTCCCAAACCCTGCTGGTCCCCCTTAGTGAGTTTATAGACAGCCACCAGGTCCCCCCTCAGCCTTCTCTTGTGAAGGCTGAACAGGTTTAGGTCCTGTAGCCTCTCTTCATAGGGTCTGTCCTGCTGTCCCTGGATCATGCGGGTG